ATCCCCAGGTCTGGGCCCTCATCTACCAGGTGAAGAAGGGAAGACTCAGAAAGGGCAGCAGCCGGCCCGAGGCCACTTGGACGATGGGGTAGAGCCAAACTAGAACCGAGGGCTTGTGACTCTGAGCTCGGTGCCCTTTCTGCTCCCCAGGGCTGGAAGGGACAGCAAGGGTCTGGCCAGAGGTGGCGTTCCCTGCGCTGGGCACCATTATCAGGGACATCAGCCGTCCACTGGAGAGCCACCTTGCCCAGGCAAGCAGCCAGGCAGGTCTGGCGTCAGCCCAGAGCGTGGCACCCGGCCCAGCCGTGGCAAGGGGTGCTGCCAGCTGAGCTCCGTGCCAGGAACAGGGAGGGGCCTAGGGCCCCCTTTCCTGGCCTCAGCCCGTGGCCTGCTGGCAGAGAGGGTCTGGGGACCCAGCACTGCTGATGTCACGAGCGTGATGCCCTCCAGCACAGGGCCTACTCCCTACCTGCTTCCAGGTGCTGGATCCTGCCAGGATGTGGGGAAAGACAGCTATGCCCCCCTCCCCCGGGGCCTGCTCTCTCAGCAAGAATCTCCTTTGCTGGGTGGCCAGGGCCAGAGGGGAGAAGCAGCCCTGTTTCCTGAGGGGACCCCCCAAAGAAAGAAAAGGGGAGGTTCCTTTATGGAAGCGAGGGGTGAGGATAGAAATCATTCTGGAGCTTTGCCAGAGCTTCTCACGATAATGATAACCTGGAGAGGGTGCTTGGGGTAAGGAAGCGTAGAAACGTTTTAAGAATAGTTTCCTTCCCAGCTGGGGGCCTGAGCCCTGGTTTCTACAGTGATCAAGGAGAGGGCAGGGTTCTGAGAACTGCCAAATGTGGTCCGCTGACTCTCTCTGCCACCAGCCCTTGGTCACAACACCAGGTAAGGCAAAAGGCAAGCAGTACTGTTGACATTATCTCATCGGAATTCTCACAACCACATGAGGCAATACTGTTCCTCTCTCCATTTTCTAAAGGAGGAAACTAAAACTCGGGTGAGCGAGGTCCTTCACCTAAGGCAACCACTTCCTGAGCAACAGGGGCAGGACTGAACTGACCCTGAAGTCCAAACACTGCCCCCATCCATGACGGGCAAGAGACACACCCTCCACATGCAAAACTGAATGAACACACCAGCGCGCCATCATTAGCAGGCCATCCAGGACTTCCCTGGTGGTCCAGTGGCTAAGACCCCGAGCTCCCAAAGCAAGGAGCCCAAGTTTGATCCCTGGTTAGGGGACCAGGTCCCACGTGCCACAACTGAGTTTGCATGCCACAAGATCCCGCATGCTGCAAGGAAGATCGAAGATCCTGTGTGCTGCAACTAAAACCCAGTGCAGCCAAATAAATAAATATTTTAAAAAATTATCGGGTCATCTTGTCTATACCGACCCCTCTATTTCCAGGAAAGACTTTATTTAACATCAGAAGGGTGGGGTGGGAGCACAGGGTGAAACCACTATCCAGAGTTCCCAGTCTCACCACTGCCCTTCAGAGGTTCAGGCCAATGTCTCCAGACCAGTGTCCTGTCTTACCAGGGCCGCTCATGCTGTCAGAGAGCCTGAAGACCCTCGTGAGTTCAAAGGCACTTCTCACCCTGCCGCCTGGTAGCTCCTCCTCTGCAGACAGGACCCTGAAGATGTCGGGAGCTGGGGGGCTCTCCTTCCAACGGGAGGTCTGGCTGAGGTGCGCCCACAGCGTCCCCTCTTCCTAGTCTGCTGCTGCGCCATGGGCCAGCTCCTGCCAGGCCAGCCACTGGCTCTGTCGTGATCCTGGGTCCCAGATGTCTGAGCGGCCACGAGCCCAGCCTCAGCGCTGGCTTCGGTGTGCCTGCGTGGGCACGTGCGCTGTGGCGCCCAGGACAAGACCTTGGTCTGCTCCCACCCCGGAGATGGGAAAGTGCCTACTCAGCAGCTGATGCCAGGAGGGCGAAGGGTCCAGGGTGGACAGGAGAAGAGAAATGTGACTCACGCCCAAAGGGGCGAAGCTAATCAGGTGAGTCTGGATGCAGGCCAGCCACTCCCTCCCAGACAACAGAGCAGAGCTGGGCCCACAGTTAAGCACTGGGGGAGGGTCTTCTTACCCCAGGGAAGGGAGGCCTGGTGGAGGGCCCTCAGAGCAGGAGGCTGTTAGCTTTCCAGCCCTCAGGGCCCACCTTGCTCCTCTTGGAAGCTGAGATAGAGGGGAGGGTAGAGTCCCACAGCGCAGACCCCTGGGTTCCTCCGGGCAGGTTCTCATCTAACAGGAACCCCACCTAGCCCCCACTCTCTTACACAGGGACCGCCTCCTCAATCTGGAGGAATGGAAAAGACACTGCTAAGGGCCCAGCCTGATGAGATTAGAAAAGCCTGCCTCCACCTCTACCCAAAGCCAGGCACAGTGTGATAGCTAGGAATTCATTCCCAAACAACAAATAAAGCCACTGGTTATTTAGCATTTGCCAGGTGCCAGGCACTGTACATTACTTCATTTAATTCGGGTAACAACCCTCCCTGTTATGACCTCCATTTCTCTGGTGAGGAAACAGGCTGGGAGAAGCTGAGGAGTTTGCTGGGAGAGAGGAGTCACACAGTGAGCACTTGCTGGGCTGGCCCTCTCCTTTAGATCTCAAACTCAGGGAAGGAAAAAACGAATCAGAGAAGGGATAGGTGGAGACACTGAACAAAAGTCCAAAGCAGGATGACCCCAGAAAGTAGAGGCCAGACTGGGGTAGGAGCTGGGAGGGGCCAAGCCAGGCACGGGGCCTGTCTACCTGGGCACAGGAAGGTCACATCACCAGAGGTCAGTCTGGGTCTGCAGGGAAAACAAATGCAGGCATAAAGGCAGCTCCATCTCCTCGAGGCCCGAGGTGGGGGGCATTTCCAAGGCAGGCAGCCTGATCCCATGAGGTCTTAGACCAAGAACTTAGTTGTTCCTCGGATCGGGTGCCTCTCTCCCACGACCCGTGGAGAAGCCGGGCTCTGCCTGGCACGGGACAAGTGGGAGCCTCCTTACTCAGAGCACCAGACCCATCCTTCCTTCTCCAAGGACTAACATAGAACCAGACAGCTCCAGAGTAGGCTGGGGTCTCCCTTGATGGGGGCACAGACTTGAGGTCAGAGGAAGTGGGATCCCACCTATGTGGATCTGGGGAAAGTTGGTGTCCCGGAGTCTCTGGTTCCTCACCATAAAGTGGGATAATAGTAACAGCTGCGGTGGCGCTACTGGTAAAGAACCTGCCTGCAAATGCAGGAGATGTAAGAGATGTGGGTTCGATCCCTGGATCAGGAAGATACCCTGGAGGAGGGCATGGCTTCCCACTCCAGTATTCTTGCCTGAAGAATCCCATGGACAAAGGAGCCTGGCAGGCTACAGTCCATAGGGTCACAAAAGTTGCACATGACTAAAGTGACTTAGCACGCACTCATGCACAAATAATACCTACCTCATAAAGCTGTATGACACACTGCTTGGCACCCAGTAGATAAGTGATAAATGGTAGCCACTAGGGCATTAAGAAATCAAATGTAACTTACTGAAAACTACTCTGGCTCTGGAAACCCCAATAGGTTTGGGAAGAATGAAGGCTCCTGGCTGGGGGTGGGCAGCCAGAGGGGAGAGTCCCAGGAACCAAGTGGGCGGGGCGTTTGCAGGGCTGGGGGAAGTCAGGCTCACAGGCTCATCAGCTGCACAGGAGGTGCTTGGAGCTGGGTAACCTGACACAGAAGCTCTCCTGTGGCAAGGTGACCCTCTCTCCAGAACACCTTGGGATGCAGACCCAAACCTAGAAGCCAGTGTTGCCTGGGCCATCTTTGCCATCCCCCAACCCTAAGCAAGGGGGTCCCAGACCCCCCGCCCAGGTCAGAGGAAAGGCAGGGCATCTCCGAGGATGCGCCTGGCAGCCAGACATTCCAGCATCCTCGTTCTAAGGATTCTGCTCCCTCAGGCCGGTGTCAAGGAATGTGCTGTGAGCCCCAGCCCAGTGGAAGACACCCCACGAGCACGCTGAATCTCACAGGGCGCCAGCACTGGAGGGCCAGGCAGGTGGTGTCAGTGAGTCACAGGGCTCAGGACGCAGCTGGGGAACCGCTGAGGGCTGGGCTGGGGGTGGGGGTGGGGATGAGGTTCTGGGGAGCGGTCTCCACTCATGCTGTAGGGAAGGAGTTTGGAGAGGATCAAAGGCCCCTGGTGCCCAGCAGGGTGTTGACCCCAAGCACAGGAGATCAGTCACTGTCTCAACCACAGGACTCCCACTACAAGGCCTGCAGACAGCTCCAGAAACCCTGGCCCCCAACAGGCAGGGAAGAGAGGCCTCCAGCCAGAGCTGACTTCAGATTTCTGATTCCTGACCATCTCCCCCCCTCCCCAAGAATCCTTAGGCCACATCTCCCAACTGGCCACCCACCCTTCCCATGACTGCATTAACCCTTTGCCTGTTGCGGCTGGGCAACAAAGGGGCATTGCCCCTTTGGTTGGCAGGGAGAGAAGAGCCCCCCCAACCCCCGCACCCCCACACACCCCCTAGCGCTGGACGCTTCTCGTGTCCTGTCCTTCCACCTTCACCCTAGGGCCCTGGCCTCCCACCGCGCCAGCCTGCCTCTCTGGAAAGTTCACCGGAGCCCCGAAAGCCCTTCAAGGCGGGGTCTGGTCCCACACTGGGGGTTCTCCCATTACCGGAGGCTCCTGACCCTTGCCCTTCCCAGGAGGAAGGGAGCAGAGAACGCGCCCGGTTCCCGACCGGGTGAAAAACTTTGCTTCCTAGGAGCTCGGGGGAGGTCAAAGTGAGTCCCGCTGGAGACGCCCGGGAGGGGCGGCGGACCTGAGAAGGCAAAACAGCCCTCGGTCCTAAGCTCCTGGTCGCCGGGAGCCGGCCTGCGCAGGGAGGGCATCGCCCGCCCCCCAGCATGCCGGCCCAGCCGCGCGGCGATCGCCGACCTCCCCGCGTGGCCCTGGAGTCGCCCTACAGCCCCGGCCCCCGAGCAGAAGCAGCCCTGCGCCTTTAAGAGCCTCTGGGTTTACCTTTGCTCCGTTTCCCCGGCGCCGCGCTGCCCCCTCCTCCCGGGCCGACCGGCCGGCCGCCGCGAGTGGCCCGCGGGACTCACCGCGCGTGTCCTGGGGGCCGCGGCGCGCCGGCTCCCGCCCGCGACCGCCGAGGGGCCGGGCCCTGCGCCCTGCTGGGGTCCCTGCCCGCGCTCGGAGCGGCGGCCGCTGCTCGGGAAAGGTGAGCGGCTCCCGGGAGAGGCTGCAACCTGAGCGGGAGGAGGAGGAGGAGGAGGAGGCGCGGGGGGTGGGGGGGGAGGGGAGGGGGGCGGAGGGCGGGGCGGGGAGGGGAGAGCCCGGCGCCCGCCGGAGTTTTTCACACGCACGGCCCGACTCCGCCCCAGGCCCGCCCGCCCTGCCCATAGTCGCTGCCAATCCCTGGGGCTCGCTCTGCCCTGGTGCCCACCCCTCTCTCCCATCTGGAGCCAGGGTCCAAGCGCCTCTTCCGGTTTCGTTCCTCCGCCTGGCCGTCAGCCCTCTGGGGCTGCCCTGAGTGCCTTGACCCGGGGATGAGGTCCCCGGACTTGGAGCACACAGGACTGGGGCCAGGGCACCGGGGAAGGGGGGGATTTGCTGAGTGTTCTCCTCTCAGTGAAGCTCTCCCAGCCTTCTGGGTCTGACGCTGGATCCCAGCACCTGGCACCCCAGGAGCTAATATGCACAGATGAGCCCCGTTGGTCATTTTTGCCTTTAGAGTTCTTGACAGCCGCAGTCCTGGCAGGGCTGTCCCTCTGTCCAGTGGGACTTATCACTTACCTTCAGGTAAGTAAGGGCTTCCCTGGTGGCTTAGGCAATGAAGACTCTGCCTGCGATGCAGGAAACCCAGGTTCAATCTCTGAGTCAGGAAGATCCCCTGGAGAAGGGAATGGCTACCCGCGCCAGTATTCTTGCCTGAGAAATCCCATAGACAGAGGAACGGTGGGCTACAGTCTATAGGGTCGCAAAGAGTTGGACTCTACTGAGAGACTAACACACTTGCACACAGGTAAGTAAAGATAATCATCGCTCCCACTTCCTACCCCGAGGAGTAATTCAGTATCTCCTTTGGGAATAAAACCCTGAGAGCCAACTGAGGATTGCCCAAGAAGGCTTATGGAATACCTCGTGCTAAGCCAGCTTTCATTTTAGAGAAGGGGAAGCTGACACCCAGAAAGGGTACTGGATTGGCACAGTCTCACAGGGAGTTGGCAAGCCACGATGAGGACCTAGGCCAATGGCCACCACCATCCCTGCCCCATCGGACTTGAGGGATCAAAGGAAAACTGGGATGGGATCAAGTGCCCAATCTGGCCCCCTTCCAGTGCTACTTCCTCCTGAAGGCTGTGAGGAGAGGAGATGGTCACCAAACTGGGGAGGTCTGTGGCCTCTGCCGTCTGGGGGTCCTGGCAGAGGACTCCTGAGGGGTAGTCCACAATGGGGATGTGTTTCTGCTGAATGCTCTCTGACGATTGATCAAAAGTGACTGCCACTCTTTAAGTCCTAGGCTTTGAGCCTGGGCCCTTTCCCTAGAGAGAGAGACTGAGTGGTTAAGAATAGGAAAAATTTCTTTCTGGAAGACATAGGCCTGAGACCTGCCCTCCAACATCAGCCTGCATCCAGCCTGCAGCACAAGATCTCTCACGACTCCACAGGGCTTGGACTTGGGAGGGAGAAGAGAAACACTGGGCCCATCAGGACAGGGACCTGGCAGAGGGCCTCCCAACTCTTTGCTCCCTCTGTCTTCTCTGCCAGGGCCTGCAGATTTCCTGGGCCCATGTGCTCTATAAGAATAAATCTGCTGCATGTTGAAGGGGTGCAGAGAGCGATGGATCTGGAGCAAAGTCTCCTGGATCTGGAGACTCCAGGCTTTCAGAAGCAGCAGCAACCTGCCTGGCTCCATAATCCACATGTGTAATAAGAATACAGGCATGCAAGGAGGAGTCCATGCAATAGCAGGGCAGGAGCTATGCTGAAGAACTATGTTTTAGAGGATTAGAGAGAATGAGGCTAAAGGAACCAGGGGAGTATATGTAGTTAAGAGGCTTCAATAAAACTTTACTGATCATCTCTTCTGTGCAAACAACAGCCGATTCTCTGGGCACAAAAGATGAATAAAATGCAGTCCCACCCCTCAGGGAGCTCACTCTTTCGTGGGGCAGTAAGTGACCAGTTCCTGGGCTGGAGGGCTGAGGTCAGAGCTGTGGCCGCCTGGAGGGGTTGTTCTGCTACTTGAGCGCAGGGTTACAGGATGAGAGGACAGTGGAGGGGAGGAAATGCTTTTGTGTTTTTCCAGCAGGGATAATATCAAGTGCAAAGTGCAAGGGTAGAGAATCTGGCCACACAGCTCTGTGAGGCCAGGGCTTAGAGTGGGGCTGGAGGTGACTTCACGAAGGGAGCAGGTGCTGGGTTCTGAAGAGCCTTCTACATGCACCAGGGCTAATGAGCCAGGGCCCTCTCCTGACAAAAGGAGGCAACCTAGAACATTTCAGAGGAAAGCGGAATCACCTGGTCTGTGATTTAGGATAAGCCCTCAGGTAGTCAAGTGGAGGACTGATGGTGGGGTTGAACTGGGAGATAAGAACCCCAGTTTGGAGGCCGAATCTGGTAAAACATCATGAGGAGTAGCAGCAGAGAGGAGGGGAGACAGGAGACAGGGTCACAGAACTTTGTGCCTAGAAGATAAGGGATCAGAGTGTCCAGGTTGGAACCACTGGTGTGATAAGCCAAGCTGGGAGCTTCTTAGGGACACCTCGATCCCTAGAACCTCCTGTGTACCCTTGGGCAAGTGACTTAAACTTTCTGAGCTAAGTTTTGCAATCTGTAAGTAAAGATACTAAAATTAATGTGTGTGGTTGTGGTGCATACTAAAGATAATGTATGCCAAGGCACAGGGTTTGGCTCATAACAGGAATTCAGTACAGAGTAGATGTAATTACCTTCGTCCATTCAGCTAACATTTATTGAGCATCTGCTATGTGCCAGGGTCGGTGGTGGATCCTTGGGATTTAAATCTCATTGCCCATTCTCTGGCTGCTATCCAAGTCTACAAGCAATAAATGCTGGAAAGGGTGTGGAGAAAAGGGAACCCTCTTACACTGTTGGTGGGAATGCAAACTAGTACAGCCACCATGGAGAACAGTGTGGAGATTCCTTACAAAACTGGAAATAGAACTGCCATATGACCCAGCAATCCCACTCCTGGACATACACACCGAGGAAACCAGATCTGAAAGAGACACGTGTACCCCAATGTTCATCGCAGCACTGTTTATAATAGCCAGGACATGGAAGCAACCTAGATTCCCATCAGCAGACGAATGGATAAGGAAGCTGTGGTATGTATACACTATGGAATATTACTCAGCCATTAAAAAGAATTCATTTGAATCAGTTCTAATGAGATGGATGAAACCAGAGCCCATTAAACAGAGTGAAGTAAGCCAGAAAGATAAAGACAAATACAGTATACTAATGCATATATATGGAATTTAAAAAGATGGTAACGATAACCCTATATGCAAAACAGAAAAAGAGACACAGATGTACAGAACAGACTTTGGGACTCTGTGGGAGAAGGCGAGGGTGGGATGTTTTGAGAGAACAGCATTGAAACAAGTATACTATCAAGGGTGAAACAGATCACCAGCCCAGGTTGGATGCATGAGACAAGTGCTCGGGGCTGGTGCACTGGGAAGACCCAGAGGGATGGGATGGGAAGGGAGGCGGGAGGGGGGATCGGGATGGGGAACACATGTAAATCCATGGGTGATTCATGTCAGTGTATGGCAAAAACCACTACAATATTGTAAAGTAATTAGCCTCCAACTAATAAAAATCAATGGACAAAAAAAATAAATAAATAAATCTCATTGCCCATTCTCATGCAGGTCAGTGTCCAGGGGGAGAGAGGTGTGCAGAGGAAGAGAAGCACAGCGAGGTGATCGGGGCTGGGGCCCAGGAGAGTCAGGAACACCTTCACAGAGGGGAGGGGACAGCTGAAATGACGGAGAGTCAGCTACTGCTCAGAGACTGTCCCGTCGCCCCTACCCTCTGACATGGGGTTGCATTTCAGAATCTTTGAAATCTTCAGTTTTGACGCAAAGCCTTGCTCCTTGGAGTTGGGTGGGGGGAATGGGCTGTAGATGGGTGTCTCTATGGAGTCTGAATGGCAGATGGAGCCTTGGCAGCCCCAGGGAAGGGCACGAGCATAGGGACAGGTAGGAGGGGAAGCCAGGTGAGAGTGACCATGGGCTGCAGGCGGAGTTTGCTAGCTGGGTAAAGAGCCTGTGTGCGTGTGTGGGGCTCACCCTGATTTTTCTTCTCCCTTTCTCTGTTCTTTGGAAAGTTGCCTCCAAGTCCTCTGATGTCCCCACCCTTCTCCCATGCCGATTTTCTTTCCATCCATCTCTCAACAAGCCGAGCTTAGTAGAGGACTGCCTGGGTCCTCCACTAGGGAGTGACACCCACCCTACCGCCACATCAAGTAAGACCTCGGGCTGTAAAGCCACATAGACATGACCTTGGGCAGTTATTCACATCTCTGGCTTGCCCGTCTGTAACATGAAGATGGTAACAGTCCCTCTCTCGTGGGGCTGTTGTGAGATGTAAACCCGTACCCAATCAATGCTTTCTTCCCTTTTCCACAGCCCAATAACTGTCTCCTTGCAGAGAGTCAGACAAGACTCAGCTGGGGGTTTCCCCTGGCACCCCAGCCCGTGGGGCCCCTCTTCTGCAGATGCCTCTGCTCTGCTAACCTGAAGTGTCTGCGGCTTTCCTGGGAGGCACTGGCGGCCCCAGCAGGACAGGCTGGGAGGCCCAGGCAGCATGACAGCGGGGCCCGGGGGCAGCCCAGTCCACTCCTTGCCCAATCCAAGCCGCTGCCCTGCAGGTAGGACAGGCATCCCTGCGCCCTGAGGACCGAGTGCGGAAGCTGGAAACAGCTCTCCCTCACAGACTGTGTGGGCAGCTTCTGAAAAACCGAAGTTCAAGCCCACCGCACTTTTTCCTGGGAGGCGCAGCATCCAGCCGGGGAGAGCTCAGCCCGCAGAGAAACCCTCTTCCTGCACCACTGCTGCGGGCTCTCCCCCGTCTCATCCCCCACCGCCCCGCACCCAGGCAGACAGTCTCCCGAAGCACTGCAGGAACCCTTGGCGGGCCCTGGACCTGACTCTGCCCCTAAGGTGCAGGAATCATTTCCTTTATCTGGGCCTCAGTTTTCCTCCTCTGCAAAATGGGAATAAAGCAAATGCTTGCGTCTCAGGAGGCTTCTATGAGTATGAATGTAGAAGTGCTTAGTTAACTGTAAGAAGACCTGCATGTGTGTAGATCACTAGTGTTTGGCCAAAGGGCCCTTCTTAGGATTCTAGGAGACAAGTAATGACAAGAGAATTGAGAGACTAAGTAAGAACAGAGAGAAACTCTCCCGAAGGGCATGTATGTCCCTGGCAGGGAAGAAAGTGGCAGCAGCAACCTGAGCCCACAGATTGAACCCCTGTGGCCTTGCTCCTTAGGCTGCACCAGTCGGCTGGAAAAGCAGGATGTGGCTGGACTCAGCCAATTCTTACTCCTCCTCTAAATAAACCCAGGCCAAATGTTTTCCAGTGATCTGTGAAGAGTGGGGATGAGTAGGAGAAAAATATCATTTACCTGATTCCATTATGAGTCCAGTAGAAGGCCTGGGAGTTTCCACTTTACCACCGCACCGAACATCACAGCCTCTCTTCACTGTTTGTGCCAAATGTACAGACACATACATACTGCACTACCACTCCAGACTTCAGATGGGCTAACAGCTGCATCCCTAGAGGGTTCTAGGACAGGGTGGGCACATAAACAGAGCCAGCCAATCACAGTCCTGTTGACCCTAGCAACCATCAGACCAATTAGAACCCCACCCCTGTATCCAGCAGTACCTCCCAAACATTCCACACACACACACACAGCCTTCAGGTTGCTGCATTGCCACGGCAACAAAACCACCACATAGAGCCAAGAAAATGGGAAAGGCGATGAGACCGGACAGTCACTGGGATGAGGATGCAGGCAGCACAGGCTGGAGTTGGGACACTGAGTAGGGTCCCCATGCAGGACGAAGGAGGAGAAAGAGCTGGCTCACCGAGACTTCCAAGCCCATTTTTTTTAGCCACGGGCCTCCGTTTCCTCATCTATAGATGAGGGTCAAATGCTCCTGCTTGTATTACATTATGTGTTCAGAGCATATAATTACTTTTCAACTAGTTAATAGGGATGGGGACTGTAGGTTACATTTTTAGAAACACCTGAAGAAATGAGAGATCTGGGTAAAAAGAGAGTGGATAGGTCCCCAGAAAGACCTAAAATCAAGTCCTAAAATTCAGCTCATGAATTCACTGTGAGTTGGAACTCATTTCAACTTGAGAACACTTACTTGGGATGTACCATTTGCAGGCACAGATGCTGATTTCAGCTGTGGCCAGGCAGACTTTGAGGGGTCTGCAGCGTGTCTTGGTGGAGACGACTGGAAAGGTCCAGGAGACCCGCGAAGTGGGCCTGAGACAGGTGCTGGTACGGACGGCAGACTGCCTGCAGAGACCGCTCCAGCCAAAGAGAAAGCTGAGGCTTTGACCCTTGGGCCCCACTGGCATTTTGCTTCCACATCTCAGACTCCTCCCTTCCGTCAGCTGCCAGCATGATCTCAGTTAACAGTGAAGAGCAGACAGTGCACTCCTCTGCCCAGCTTCGTGATAGCGCCCCAACAGTGGGCCTTCGGACCCCCAAGGCCTCCTTCAGGGCTTGGTGAAAGCCGAGGAGCTCCCTTCCTAGAGTCACATATGCACAGTATTTTTCTTTCATTCTGGGGGACTCTCGGCCTCTTTCAAGCTCGTTCAGGGAGTCGCTTGTGGAGGCCTGGCCTACGAGGCCCCTAAGTAACCCGGCCTCTGCCTCCCTCGCCAGCTCATCCTGACCTCCCCCACTGGTGTATGCCCGGCCACATCAATCTGCATGTAGTTCTCTTGCACACCTGCTGTATTTCACTGTGACTTTGCTTATATTGTCCTCACCAGCAAGAGAGGCTTCCTCCTGGTGTCTGGTTAACGCCTCCTCGTTCCTCAAAGCCCAGCTCAGGAGTCACACCTTCGATGCTGTCCAGACAGGCTCAATCACTCCGCAGCCTGAATCAGTTCTGCTCCCTCTACACACTTCTCTCCCCGAGAGCCTCTTGATACACGGGGACTCTGTGTCTGTCTTCCTTACTATGCTATGAGCTTCCTAAGGCCAGACACCACATCTGTAGCCTTTGTATTCCCAGGATTTAGCGTTTAGTAGGTCTGGAGAACCAAAAGGGTGGGGCTGAATTGGCAGAGGAAACGGAGCAGACAAAAGAGGCGAAGAACAAGTCAGGAGCCTTGAGCAGAGAGGGCCTCAAGAAGGAAGGAGGCATCAAGAGGAGCCTGGCAGTCAAGCTGGTGAAGGACTGAAAATTATCATTGAGTTTGACAACTAGGAAGCAAACAGTCCCACTTCTCCCAGGGCACATCCAGCTCTAGACTGAAAAGTCCTGGGCAGATGGAGGTGGTCAGTCACTCAACACTGGCGACCTTGATGAGGGCAGTTCTGCGGGTGGGGGTGGGCAGAAGCCTCATGTGAGGGGCCAAGGAGTGATGGAGGCAGGGAAGGGTGATTGGGGTGGTGTGACTGCTGAGAGCCTGTGCTAAGAGGAGAGAGCAGGCAAGAACCTGGGGTGCTCCCTGCCCCACCGCTCCGGAGAGACAGCAGACAAAGCTGTCAGGAACACTGTGGGCATCTGGGTGACTTCTTCCCAAAGACCTCCAGCCCTGCCGCCTCGGTCACCCGACTGTTCCTCCGGCCACCCTGATCCCCGCAGCAGCAGCTTCGGTCTCTGTCCTCTGTGTATTTTGTCCACTGAGCAAGGCGGATTCTGCTTGGACGGCTTGGGGGTCCTCTCTTCTTTTGAGTTGTGAAAGTCATCTTTGAATCTGTGTATCTTGTCCAACTCATTAGATCCTGAACTTCTCGAAGGCAGGGACCATGTCCTCCCCGCTGCCTCCCCTTTCCTTCCTTCAGTAAACACTAATTAAGTGCTGTCTCTCCAGCGGTCACGATGATGGCTAGAGTTCCTGTTCTTAGGTGTCTCCCAGTCTGGGTTCAGGAGACCTGAACGTGGAGAATTGTATACCCTGGAGCCAGCAGAGAGCTCAGAGAGTCTGTAAAAACCCATGCTGTTATGTGCCAATGCTGACTCGGGGAGTGTGTGTGTGTGTGTGTGTGTGTGTGTGTGTGTGTGTGTGAGGTGGAGACTGCATGGTTCTAAAGAGAGACTCTACAAATGAACATATTCAAGTGGAGTCAATCAACTGGATTCAAGTCTTATCTGTGTGATGTGGCAAATTATTCTCCATTCTGTGTCTCCTTTCTTGGCCTGTGAAATGGGGACTATATAGTACCTTTCTCCTAGGGTCACAGTGAGGGTTTAATGGGGAATGTATATAAATAACTTGCCACAGTGCTTGGAACAGAATAAGAGGACGATTAGTGTTAACTCTTATTGTTTTTGAGAGAGAGGGTGAGAGAAGCATTCATGAGACTCTCAAAGGGCTCTTGGTCCAGAAAAGACCAAGAGTCGGGGGTCCAGTGGGTGAGACTGACCTGCGTGCTGACTGCAGGACACGCATGACAGGTGCCAAAGGGTGGTAATCTGAGGGGCACTGCGGGCACCTCCAACTTCCGCTCTGTGTCTCCCAAGCACCAGGTGGCTCAAGACCCTGCTCTGAACAGTGGTTCAGAAGTAAAGATTGTTGAACGGCCCCCTCGTGGCCACTGAGTTCAGGCTGGAACAACATATGAGGTGAGACCAGAACTCTGTTTCTCCCAGTTGGACGGATTAAAGGGAGGGAAAAAGAAGAAGAAGAAGAAGAGGGCCTTTGCTCCTGATCACATTAAAAAGCAATCGCCTGCACAGCAATTAGGCCCCCGTAAATTACAGAGCCTGCCTCTGTCAGCCGGCTCGGCGCTATCTCATTAGCCAGGGTGCCAGAGACGCTACACGCCCTGCCGGGAGCCACCCCGTTGCCAAGCGCCTGCTCCATAATTAGACACAGAGTCCCGACCTCGTCGAGGCGCCCACCCGCCCCTCCTGAGGGGCAGGTGCAGGGCACGGGCGGGCCCGGCTGCCGGCCCTGCTCAGGGGAAGGGAGGTCAGAGCGCAGGTCTGAGCGGAGAGTCCCAGCCCGGTCGTGACCCTGGGAGGAGATCTGGGAAGTCCTCGGGGGAAGGAAGTGAAAGGGCAGGGACCCCGCCTTCTGCCCACCTGGACGCCCAGTACCGGGAGCAGTGGGCCAGACGGGCCTCCCGGGAGACTCTGGGTGAGAGGGGAACTCCAGAAAGGTGGGGAAGTGGGGAGGTCTTTGCTCCAGGTTGGTCTGAGAACATTTAAGCACCCAAGCCACCCAGCATGCGTGCGCATACACACACACACACACACTGGTTCTCAGTCACCCGGGGGCTGGTGGGGATGGTACCTGGGGCTGGGAGGGGACTCGGGGCTGGGGCAATACGGCCCCCGGAAGCCCCTGTAGCCAGAATTGCAGTAAGGGCTGGGGCGGCAGGCAAGTGCCCAAGATGGAAATATAACAAGATGTGTGTAGGAGAAATCATTCTCCAAGCCTCTCAGGGCAGAGGTGAGCACCCCTAATGGTCAGGAATGCTCCAGTGACGAGACAGTGGGGTTGGACACCACAGAGCTTGTGCTTTGCCGAGTGGAGGACACAGACCCCCTGGGAAGGCGGGCGGGGCCCGGGCTGGTCCCAGCAGCCCTCTGCCCACCCCCACACAGCCTCTCTTCTAGATCCGCTTTGCACAGGTGAAGAGAGGTCCCAGGGAGGTGCCAGGTGACCGGCCTGCCCGCGGGTCTCCAGCCAACCACGACCGCCCGCTGAAGGAGGCAGAAGACACTGCAGGATGCCTGCAACACTCGTCATATGCGGCGGACCAGGTCCGGAGAGAGGATGAAGCAAGAGAGGGGAGACTGGAGGGCAGGCAGCAGCCTGGGGCCTGGGGACAGCAGCGCCGGGCCCCTCCGAGTTCCCTCGTGTGCCCCCTCCCCAGCCCAAGCGGCTTGGGCCCGGATGGGCGCTGTTCCGACCTCCAGCTCCAGCAGCCCCATCCTCATGGAGAAGGGGAGCACCGCAGAGAAAACCTGGCGAACGGGCAAGACAGCCAGAAACAGGGAGACCCAGGCCGGAGCCCCCGAGGGCAGGTGTGGACGGATGTGGATGCCGGCTGGCATCCGTCGGTGAGGCATTTCATCTTAACGGGGCAGCGGCAGTGGTGGCTGGTGCCCAGCCAGAGCTCAGAAACTACCTCTGCCGAGAGAAGAGGGCTCGGACCCGGGCCTCGCCCTCCCCCAGGCGGCTCTGCCGGCTCTGACCGGCCCAGGCCGCGGCTGCTGCCCTCCCCCCACCCCCGGCCCCCCCAGTCCCGGCCAGGAGGACGGGAGGCAGCGGACGGCCTCAGAGGGTGACTCGCACTGCCGGTCTCCGAGGCTGGTAGAGCCTGGAGCAATGCCAGGCGGGCTGTGCTCCTCCCAGCGCCCACTCCAAGCCCCAGCTCATCAGCAGCCCTGGGCCAGGCTGGGGCCAGGGCCCCCCTCCCACCACGGCCCAAAGGAACCAAGGTTCCCAGCCCAGCCTGTCCCGCCAGGCCCACTGGGAATCCTTTGCCACCACACCTTGGGAGCCCAGCCCAGGGACCATTGTTCCCTGGAGCCACGGATCATTTTCCTGGGGGCTCCTCCCAGGCCAGCTTCCCCTTTTCCTGCAGCCAGGGAGGGGTTGGGGCTCCTGGGTGGCCAGGTGTGGCCTGAGGAGTGGGAAGGAGCCAGGCAGACAGCAGGGGTCAGCGGGGTCAGGATCCAGAAGCGATCTGGACGGGCCCCGGCGTGGGGGCACGCCTGGAGGAGCGAGGAAGAAGTGGGAGGTTATACTCACAGTCCCCTTTGCTCTGGAGGGAGCCCATGACCAGAATGGTGAAGACTGCCAGGGCCTCCCAGAAACACATCTGGTCTGCGTGAGGGAGCAGAAAAGACTGCTCAGCTCAGACCCCTCCGAGTGATCAGTGAGGTGCAGGGCCCTGACATCTGCATGAACAAGCCTGTCTGGTCAAAGCACATCTCGCTGTGTCGGGTCCCCACAGGTGAAAGTGGGCCTGAGAGGCTAGGCAGTGATGATAAGTCTCTGTGTGAACAGGTGTGACCAGCTACAATACCTGAATACTCCAGGCTGCCCCAGAGCAGACCCGAGTGCCAAATGACCTGGCAAGAGAGACCTGTTTTGGGGAGCCAGCTTCTCCACGTGACAGCCCGGCCTCACAGGTGGGCATCTGGCAGTGCCCGCCGTGGCAAGGTGAAGGAGGGCATTGTGACCCGTCCGGATCCCAGGCCTGCTGTTTGCCGCAGCAACCTGGCCCCTGGCCCCTCGGGGGTGGTAACACCACTCTGAGTTTCTTCCCCAGGACCCCAGCCATTCATGAACTCACAGCTCCTCTCTTAGTTAAACATCTGGGGACTGAACCTGACCCAGTATTTACTCCTGGAGGGAGGGCAATGGAGCAGGCGTCACCTAGGAGCCCACTGCCACCGCCGGCTGGGTGCTGGGGAGGGCCAGGGAGGGGGGTCTGCTGTCTTTTCTTGGGTCGTTGCTGTTGTTCGGCCCCTCAGTCGTGGCTCTTTACGACCCCATGGACTGCAACGCGCCAGACTTCCCTGTCCTTCACCATCTCCCGGAGTTTGCTCAAACTCATGTCCATTGAGTCGGTGATGCCATCCAGCCATCTCATTCTCTGTCGTCTTCTCCTCCTGCCATCAATCTTTCCCAACATCAGGGTCTTTTCCAAGGAGTCATCTCTTCACATCAGGGGACCCAAGTATTGGAGCTTCAACATCAGTCCTTCCCATGAATATCTGCTTGGGCACCGGAGGGTCTCTCAGGCTGCAGGTGTGCCCCCGGGCAACCATCTCCCGCCTCCTCCTGGCTCAGGCTGGGAAGTACAGAAAGGGGACTCTGTTCCCAGGATCTGTCCCTAGGAGTGTGAGAGTCGAGTAGATAAGGGACCTCAGCCAGAAGCTGCTAGAAACCCAAACCTCTCCCTCTAGATAAGAAGGCACCCGGATCCTGCCCTGGACCCAGTGGGTGGGAGGCTTCTGGGGGAAGGAGCCTCCCTGTGGGAAGCAGCCAACCTGCTTTTCTCTGGAAGGGGATGGGAAGAGGAAAGGGGGTCTGGGGAGCCCCTCGGAGGAATGAAAGCGGGTGGCTCCTCAACAACAGGGCTGGGCGACCTCCCCGCAAAGGACTCAGACCCAAGACTCTGTGAGAATCCAGGAACTTGGTGATTTCCCTGCATTAGGCACTGGAACTCTCCCTGGCATGATTAGCCATAAACCTCGAAACCGAAGGGAAGCCCTAAGGGCTCAGAGGGTAAAGAATCTGCCTGGAGTGCAGGTGACCCAGGTTCGGTCCCTGGGTTGGGAAGATCCCGTGGAGAAGGGAATGGCTACCCACTCCAGAATTCTTGCCTGGAGAATCCCATAGATGGAGGAGCCTGGCGGGCTACAATCCATGGAGTTGTAAAAGAGTCAGAGTCAGACACGACTGAGCGACTTCACTTTTGCTTTCTTTCACTTTCACTTTCTTTCGAAACCCGATGTAATTGCCAGGTTCTTACAGAAAGAGGAGCTGAGGGATCTCTCACTAGCCGGGCCTGGAGGAGAAGCCCTAGAGACAGAGCTTCAAAGAAGGGCAGGGAGGGGGCCAAGGTGGTGGGGAGGCTTGCTGAAGAAAGAAAAAGTAGGGACAAGGGTAGCAGCCAATGTGTTTTCCTGATGGGAATTTACTTTACGTGTACCTGTTATGTGCCAGGCACCCTATGCAGATCAGAATTAAAGTTCATGATGACATTAAGTTCATGGGGTTCTCAAGGCAGCAATACTGAAGTGGTTTGCCGTTCCCTTTGACAAGACCCTGAAGCTGGGAAAGATTGAAAGCAGGAGGAGAAGGGGACAACAGAGGATGAGATGGTTGGATGGCATCACCGACTCAATGGACATGAGTTTGAGTAAACTCTGGGAGTTGGTGAGGGACAGGGAGGCCTGGCGTGCTGCAGTTCATGGGGTCGCAAAGAGTCGGACACGACTGAGCGACTGAACTGACTGACTGATGACATTAAGTAGACATTGTTATCCCATTTTACAGATGACGAAACTAAGGCTTATAAGTGGTCGAGTGACTTTCCTGGTCCCTAGTGAGTGAAAGCGTTAGCCTCTCGGTCATGTCCAGCTCTTTGCAACCCCATGAAATATAACCTGCTCAGGCTCCTCTGTCCACGAAATTCTCCAAGCAAGAATATTGCAGTGGGTAGCCATTCCCTTCTCTAGGGGATCTTCCCAATCCAAGGATGGAACCCAGTTTGCCTGCATTGCAGGCAGATTCTTTACTGTCTGAGCCACCAGGAAAGGTCCCCAGTGAGAGGCAGGGCTGAATACAAATCCAGGTCTGAGTTGAGGGCACATGTGCTTTCTGCAATGCTTCATTGCTCCCAGACACCAGAGCCCAACCTAGGGCAGGTCAAGCCAGGGGAGGGAGTCTCAGTCACAACCTCAGGGTGCCCAAACTCAGAGGTCGTGCTCCCAGCAGCTCACAAAGACTGCCCATCAGAGGCAGCACCACTCAAGAGAAGAACACAGGTTCTAGCCTCGGAAAAATCTGGATTCACATACCACTCGCTGGGCTTCTCTCATGGCTCAGCAGGTAAAGGATCGCCTTCAATGCAGGAGACACAGGAGACGCAGGTTCGATCCCTGGGTCGGGAAGATCCCCTGGAAAAAGAAAACTCCATTATTCTTGCCTGAAAGAGGAGCCTGGTGGGCTACAGGCCAAAGGGTCAGAAAGAGTCGGACACGACTGCGTGACTGAGCCCACTCATTAGCCCCTGTGTCTTTGGGCAAAGGGTTTAACTTCTCTGAGCCTACATTTGCTCATCTGTGAAGAGGACATACACACGCCTATCTCATAGAGCTATTTGAGATTTAAATGAGATACTGCCTATAAAGAGTCTGGCCCATGGTAGGCGCTTAGTAAATGATGGTTCCAGGCAGGGTGGGCTGCTGGGACATGTGGTCATGTACCACTCAGGGCCCTGTGCTCGGAGGGGCCCACACACGGGAGGCTCCATTCCTGGTTTAAAGCTTTATTGGTGCCGTCTTGAAATTTTGAATGCTTTTCGAACCAGGGGCCCGGCATTTTCATGTTGTATTGGGTCCCCCAAATTCTCTATCGAATCCTGCTTATGGGTCTGGGTTCAGTTCTTTTGACTCCCACACTCTGGAACAAGCTGTCCTTTCATCATTTCATGGTTTTCCCAGGTCCGGGAAGTGTTTCTCTGTTGCTGACAAGCAATCAGGAAGAGCAGACAAGAGCCCCTTCTCGCTTTGGCGGCCAGCACCTCCAGTGGGTCAGGAGAGGATCCCCCCTTTCTCTTCCTGGAGAGACTCGTGAGCTCGGGCCCCTGGTGGTCAACGTAACTTCCCAGATGCCAGCAGCCCCTTTAGGATTAAAGCTCTGTGAGGTTGGGAGCCTCCAACGCCGAGAGCCTCTTCCTCCAGGGCAAGCCTGCATGTCTCCAGAGCGTCGGGGAGAGGGCTGCTGGCCGGGACAGAGGCAGAGCTCTGAGCGCCTTCAGAGGGTCATGGGCAGGGCAGCCTCCAGACGCCGCAGGTCCCAGGCCTAGATCCCGAGGCGGGGCCGGAGGCCGCCCTCCTTTGGTGCGGACTGCTCCTAGGTTTCTGTCTCTGGCTGTGTCTGCCCTGAGCTGTTTTTAGACTCCAGTTCCCAGAGGCCCAGCTGTTTGCTAAACTGGCAGTCAGGGCCCACCTCCTGAACTCTGAGAAGCATCAGGGCAAGAGGGGAAAGACAACCTGATAGGCTGGAGAGCCTTCCTCATTCACTCTCACAGCCTGCCTCATCACTAGGTCTAGGAGCCTGCGACAAGGACGCGGGAGTCGGGAGAGGGAGGGTGCGGAGGACCGCGGGAGAGGAGGCGGGGCTGCAGCTGCCGGGCCGGGGAGAGGAGTCGTAAGCCCACTCGAGGCCGTAAAACATCAGCCTCAGAAGGCACCCTTGAGAAGCTGAGGCCAGAGAGGGAGAGCAGGGCACCCAAAGTCACGCAGCAAGGACTGGCAGCTGGGTCTCCTGCGGTCCAGCTGCGGCTCCCTCCAGCACATCATTTGACTTCAGGCTCAGA